GGCTCTGGCAGTGTGTCCACCCCCAGGAGAGCCTGGGGCAGGGCAAGGAGGGCAGAGGCACAGGATGGGACCGGGCCCAGTCTCTCACCCAAGGATTCTGGGACCTCCAGAGAGCCACCTACACCTAAGTCCATTTTCCTTTCTTGCAAACTGATGGGGCTTCATTAAGACCCCGTGCTTTTATTTGGGAGAAGATGCAGCTCTAGGAGCCTGGGAGTCTGGTCTCAGGGGAGGGTCAAGATAGACACAGGGAGGGCTGGTCCACCCAAGTGACAATAAAGTCCACATCCACAGCTGCAGCCGGTACAGCCGGGCTATGCCCAGGCCCCTTACCTATTATACGCAGCCTTCACGGTCAGCTCCTCCCCACTCAAGGTCAGGAGCAAGGCCTCCAGCCTCTTTGGGGTCTGCAGTGCCAGGTTTTGGCTGGAGGCCACCCCAACTTCCTGCCAGAACCCTGCAATCTAGAAGAAGGGGCCGGGGCCGGAGCCAAGCCCGTCTCGGGCAGACGGACAGAGACCCCACCCCTGGACCCCAGGAGGCAGACCCCTCTCCCCGGACCTCCCAGGCAGGGAGCTGGCAGGCTCCGAAGCAGCAAGCCGTCGGCCTTCTGAGGGGTCCCTTTGGGGGCGACAGGGCGAGCCCCTCCCCGCACAGGCCTGTCTGCAGTTGCCACAGTGCTGGATCCCACTCTTTAAGGAGAACCAGGCTTGCTGCTGTCTGTCCTTGCAGACGGGACACCAGGGGCAGAGGTGGTTAGAGCCTGAGAGAGGGGGGCTGGAGAGGGCCAGCCGAATGTGAAAGCCGCTGGGGAGCGGTGGCCAGCAGCCCTCCCCCGCGGAAGAGGCCCGGCTCTGCCCGACCAGGCTGGGGGAGCGAGTGCCTGCTGCAGAAACGGCCACCCAGAGCCTAGACCTTCCATCTGAAACTTTTGAAAACTGATAATTTTTGCAAGAGAAACGCATCCGTGTCCAACATTTGTCACTTCTGAGCCTGCTGATGTGCTCCTGGCCCAACAGCCGACACAGGGCCGGCAAAAAGAAGCATCGGGGTGGAGACCAAAGCCCGCAGCCGAGGTCTCCACAGCAGGAAAGCCTGCTCCTCTGGCTCCTACAGTGTGCGGGGTCAGAGGGTACAGGGTCTCCTCTGGGGAGAGGACCAGCGGCCGGGATGAGGACACAGGCCTGCCCACAGGAGGCCCTGAGGGAGGGCGCCGCCCCTGCTCGGCCCTGGCCACTTGCCTCACACCCACTCGCTAGGAGAGGGGAGACCAGGCAGGGCTGAGCTCAGACACTCCGCCACCCGCCCTCACGGGGCTGGCCTGGGTGAGCCCTGGGATCCCCGAAGCAGCTGCCCAGCATCAGCTGGGGCAGAGGCGGGGCCTGGAGTAGCTGCATACGGGGGCCCCTCCCCGCCCCACTTCCTCCTGGGGCCCAGAAAGAAAGCCACCTTCTGCGGGTCCAGGTCCTGCGTGGTCATTTCCACCTGCACCAGGATAATGCCCAGGACGGCGCTTAGCAGCCCGGCCTCCATCGAGGGTCTGTGCTCCCCGCACCTGTGCCCCCCGCACCCAGGTTTATATCGGGAGGGAGATCTGGCGGGTGGCGCAATCACCCAAGAGTTTCCTCGGCGAACTTGGCCTCCAAATGCTCAGGGGGCGTGCATCTGGGCCCCGTGACACCCACAGCCCTGGGGAGGGGCCGGGGGGGGTGGCCTGGACTAGAGATGTCGGCGCCACCCGCTGCCTGGCCTGGGGATGATGGTGGACACCACTGCGGGGCCCGCCTGGGGGCCTGAAAGCAGGACAAGGCCCCCCCGCACCTGCACGGGGGTGACCCAGGACGGCATCTCCCACCCCGGGAGCACTAACGGGATGGATACACCAAGCCCAGACCCCCAGGGGCTCAGAGCTCCGCACACACTCCCGGGCCCTCCTCCCAGGACACATGGTTGTTTTCAGGCTCTTTCTGATGGCTCTTGGGACAAGTGGGCATACGCTCCATGGGCCTGGACCGCAGAGCCGGGTCAGGGGTTCCTCCCCCAGGTCGGGGAAACGACGGCGGGGGGTGTGAAGCTTGCGTGGGAAAGGTCGTTCCCTGCAGAGGGAGCAGCTCCTGAAAGGCACAGAGGCCCAGTCGGAGGGGAGGGCCCACGGGAGGTGGCAGTGGGTCGCAGCGGGGTCGCACCAGGCCCTGTGAGCCTCAGCAGGCGCCAGGGAGCCAGCAGCCACTCTGCCTCCTTCTTGTGCCTGGGGCCTCCCCCACCCAGACCCAGCCCTGTGATGGCAGCAGCCCAGAAGGCTGCCTCGTGGGACCCTCAGGAAGCGAACGAGGACAGGGGATTCCAAGGCAAGACCCAGTGTCCCAGGGTTAAGCCAGGGACAACCAGAATGTACTGGGTTGGACCGTGTCCCCCCAAACTCAAGTCCACTTGGAATTCTGAAAGTGATCTTATTTGGAAATAAGGTCTTTGCAGATGTAATTAGTTAAGGATCTCGAGATGAGGTAACCCTAGATTAAGGGTGGGCCCTACATCCAATGACTGATGTCCTTATAAGAAGAGGGAAATCTGGCCAGGTAACAATGGACGCAGAGATGGGAGTGATGGGTCTACAGGTCGAGGAACACCAAGGCTCACCAGCACCACTAGAAGGTGGAAGAGGCCGGGATTCTCCCCTACAGCCTCCAGACGGGACCAGCCCTGCCCACAACTTGATTCTGGACCTCTAGCCTCTAGACTATGAGAGAGTAAATTTCTGTTGTTTTAAGCCACCCAGTTTGTGGTAGTTTGTTATGGCAGCCCTAGGTAATCAGGAGGGGCTCCCTGGAAGAGGTGATGTGTAAGCTGAGGCCTGGAGCACACAGGTGAGTGTCCAGGCAGAGCAATGGATGTTGGCGGGGATCTGCACCTGCAGACCTCAGCAGGGGAGCGGGCAGAAGGCATGGCGAGAAGGGGTAGCCCACACGCACAGGCCCTGGAGGACGGGGTGGGGGGGGTGGGGGAGTGACCCTGGCCCCCACCTGGGAAGAGCACACATCTGTAGAAAGGCAGAGGGTCTGTGAGAGGCTGGGCTGGCTGGGACTGCCCGCTTGCTCCTGGGACCTGCCCAGGACAGCCCCCCCCAGAGCGTGGGGCCCTCGGGCCCGACTGTCCCAAACATCTCCCTCATGTGTGTTAAGGGGAGGGCGGGGTGTAAAGAGGAGTGGCTGGAGGGGCTGCCAACCCATCCTTAGAAGAGAAGGCCACCTCCTGCCTGTGCCTCCCAGGACTCCGGAAAGGGGGCGGGGCAGGGCTTGGTGGGCGGGGTTTCCCACATAGCGGGGCTCGGCGGGTACCTGACTTGGGCAGCGTGACCACCATGTCTTCCGGCAGCCCCACCGTCCGGTAGAAGTCCTGGAAGGCCTTCAAGGCCTGGGGGCTCGCTTCCTGGGTCCGGCCTGGGGCAGAGCAGGGGTCCCTGTGAACCCCTGTGGCTCACAGAGGTGAGAGAGAAGGGCAGATGAGGGTCTCCTGGCCTCACTGCACTTTCTTGAAGGCTGACAACAGGTCCACCAGCCGAGGTTGGGCAGCTTGTGCACTGCATGAAAGTGCCTGCCTGGCCGAGGGACCAGTGAGGACCGGCAGCTGCCCAGAGGAGTGCCCTTTCCTAATTCACACGGTGGCACCTGGGAGGTTGGGGTGGCCTGGCTGTTCTCCGGGACCAGGTTCCCCTGGGCCCACCCCCTTCAGGCATCCTTACCTGCAGCTCCCAATGCCAGCCTCCAGCCCTCACCCCAGCCTCTCTCCTTGGGGGGCCCCCACTGGTTCACTCTACCAAGCCCCCCAGAAATGAAAGCAAAATAGTATCTCAGGCCCTGCTCAGGGTGTGAGGCAGCGGGCCAAGCAGGGGAGAGTGGGTCCCCAGCCAGAGGGAGGCATGAGCTTTGGCCTGAGTGCTCAGCCCTCGGAGGCCCCTCCGGTCGATCCCTACCCAGCCAAAGTGCTGTGGGGTTCGACCACCCCCACCTTGACCTGGTCCGTGCAGGCCCAGACCTGGGAGTGTGTGATGAGGGAGGGCAGGAGAAGAGATGGGGACAGGGCCTGAAAAGGCAGCCAGGTCGGAAGGGGAGTGGGGGGCGGGCCGAGGCAGGGGAGGGGCTGAGGGAGGGGAGAGGCAGGAGATGGGGGGCCGTGGGGGAGGGTCCCGGGTAGAAGGATGGTCCCATGTCACCCCATGGAGAAGGAGGGGAGGACACCCACTCGGGACTCGGAAGTGCCCCTGGCAGCCCTCCCTCAGCTACTGGTTACAGCCTTCAGCCCGGGGGTGCACAGCCGGGCTCACTCTCGGCCCCGCCCACCCGACCGCTCCGGAGCGCCGCGCTCACCCAGGGAGCTGCATGTGGACGCAGAGGCTGCCCTCTGCCGTGGCCTTGACGTTGCTGGTGGACGTCAGCAGGTTGTCCTTCTTGTCCCTGAAGACCTTGCAGTCAGAGACCATGGGCACCATGTACCAGAGGCCTGAGAACTGCAAGACAGCTCAGTGACCTCAGGCCCGATCCTCCGGGCACTGGGACCCTAGGCCACAAGGACCACAGGTTTGTCCGAAGCCACACAGCCGGGGGTCTCCGGAGTGTCCATCTCTTGGGTCTGGGTCCCTGGGTCTGGGTCCCTGCTCTCCCACTCACCTGGGGCAGGTCTCATGGCCACTGTGAGCCTCAGTTCTCCCAACCGTGAAGTGGGTCGGTAATTACCCACACACATGGTTGTTTCGGGATTAAGTGGAGAGCGGCTCTAAAGGGTGTGCGGCCCAAGGCACCAAACAAGTGCTCCGTGGAAGGGAGCAGGTACTATTATCACATTGTCGCTATTGTTTCCAGTGAGGGCTCAGCCCGGACCCCCACCCACGTGGCATAGCTCAGAGGTCTCCGATACCTTTTTGGCATCAAAATCTGGCTGCCCCAGGACCTCAGCCTGCGCCGAGGACACTCAGAGCAGCGCCAGGACACAGCTCAGCCAGGTGGCCTCCCTCCCCAGGCCAGTCCTCTGGCCCCTGGCGCCCAGTCCACCCGTGCCCCGCCGGCCCAGCTTTGCAGCCCGGCCCGGCAGTGGGGCTCGGCCGATGAGCAGCTCGGGAGCGAAAGGCACCTCGGCTCCGGAAGCTCCAGGCCCTCTTTGCTCACTGTCTGGTGCAATCGCTCGAGTGTCTGCACCTGCTCCGGGAGTCGTCTCCTGGAGGGTCCAGAGAGCCTGGCCCTCACCTGGCTCGTGTCCCAGCCACCACCGTGACCACGGCTCAGCCGGTCGGGTTGCCCCGACCAGCGAGCTCCACTCCGAGCCCCCAGAGTCCCCACTCCTCGCACGGGTGTGGAGCCACCATTGGCCAGGCCTCCCGACCTCGTCTTGGGGTGACAGAGGTGACGTCAGAAGCCTGGGCACCCCTCACTCCAGACCCCCAGCTGGGCCTTCAGCAGCCCAAGAGGAGGGTGGGTCTGGGCTGCCACTTAGGGTGGGTTAGGGTGTCCGGCCACCTTATCCCTGGTTGCATAAGTGTGTGGACCAGAGCATCTCCCGGTGGCTCCGCGGGCTGGAGGGGGCTCGAGCTGCCGAGGCCTCTCCAGGCGACCTCTCATGTCCACTCAGACAGAGGGACTCAGAGACACTCAGGAACAGCATGTGACCTCGGGACCCACCACCCCAAGGCCTCAGGTCAGAGGCAGGGGTGCCCAGGGAAAGCCAGCACTGCGCTCTGGAGTGGAAGTGGATTCAGAGTCAGAGAAAGACCCCAGTGGCCAGCAGCGGGGGAGGGGCAGAGCCGAGGGCTCCCGCTCGCAGCCTCCACTGGGTTTCAGGCCACGCCAGCTCTCAGTCAGGTCCCAGAGTCATTGGACAGAAATGCAGTGAAAGCCTTCCCGTGAAAATATTTACAAAACACACATCTATCTGATAAAGGACTTAAATCCTGAACCTGCAGAGAACTCTCAAGACTCAATTAAAAAATAAATTTTTTTTTTAAAAACAGACAAAAGATTTGAGAAGATTCCCAGACACAAAGCAAGCCCATGCAGAGAGGCTCACGGGCGTTTGTCGTAAGCAGACGCAGCTACACACCAGCAGGATGGTGATTCTGTTTCTAAATCAAGGCTGTCACCACTGGGATGGGGAAAACGAGAGGGTGCAACACCCTGGGAAATGGTTTAGCAGATTCTTATGAAGGTAAATATTCATCACCGTACGGTTCGACACTCGCACGCCTAGGTATTTACCCAAGAGAAATGAGACACACACAAAATCTGCCGGTGGCTGGTCATGTGATTTTACTGACAATCCCTAAAAAGTGGAAATGACCAAGTGCCATTCAGGGGGCCGGATGAACAATCTGCAGACCCCTCTGGGGACCCCCCTGAACCTCAGAGGTGCAGGGCAGCCTCCCAAGCTGTGGAGGACCTGCCACCGGTGTGTCCCCAGCCGTGGTCTGAGGACTCTCCATCACGAGTCTTCGATGCCCGGTCATCTCCTGGCTTCCCCACTCACCCTCACCCCCCAAGTCCACTCTCCACAAAGTGGTTGGAGCAAAGCCTGCAAAGCATCAATCTGATGCGTCCCTGCTTGAGATGCTGCTGAGTCATCATGGCCCTGAGAACAAAACCCACACCCAGCCCACCCCTGTGCCCAGCACAGCTCCCCAGCGGTCAGCCCAGCCAGCCCCCGCCCCACCCCAGGCCTCTTGCTTGCACCCTCCCACCCAGCGGCCCTCTGGTGGTCCCTTCCAGCCCCCTCACTGGAGCCCCCTGCTCCCTGGGCTATTTTTCACCCTCTGCATCCTCCAAGCAGCCTTCCTCAAACCCCAGCCTTCACCTGCCGGTCGTTTTCTGGCGGCTTTAGCACCATCCGAATTCTCTGCTGTGTTTATTTGTTGTCTGCTCTCCCACACACACTGTAAACCCCGTGACAAGAGGAGCTGTACCAGCCTGCTGGCAGCCTGTTGGTGTCTGTTTCCCCAGCCTGGAGCGCAGGGCCTGGTGGTGGAAGGGGCTAGTTAATGCTTGTGAATGAATGAAGGACAGGGGCCAAGTCGCTTTGACCCTCAGGTCTGCTAAACTGGGATCTTCACAGCACACATTTGCTGCCAGGGCAGGGTTTGTGTGGCCACATCTGGCTTGCATGGTCCGTGGGTGCAGCTGGCACTGCAGGCCCAGATAGCAGCGGGTCAGTGGGAGCCACGCCCCACCTCCCCGCAGTGCAGGGGCGCCGCTGCCAGGGCCTCCATCGCTTCCTGCCGGCCTCAGCTCCCTGAAGGAGACTAGGAAGAGTGCACAGGAGGCTTGCGGGGGCTAAGGACGTGGACGGGGGCACTGGCAGGAGAGGTGTGGGCAGTGGGCAAGCCAGAGCTGGCAAGGCCCTGGACCCAAGCACAGCAGGTGCAGTCCCAGCAATGGCCACAGGGCAGCAGCAAAAGGACCCTGCTTGCCGGGCTGGCAGAATGGCTTACATGGGGCTTCGTGCCCGCTGGGGCTGGGGAGGGGTCCCCGAGCAGGAAGGTCACCTTATACTGAAGTGGGGTCCGTTGCAGGGTTTCCAAGCTTCAAACCTGCTACCAATGAATGGATAAACAAACAGGGTCTATCCACACGTCAGAAAGCTGTCCGTATGACAAGGAACAGGATGAACAGTGAAGACAGGGTGCTGGGTGAGAGACCAGGCCCCAAAGGCCACGTGGTGTAGGAACCCCCCTGTACGCAACGTGCAGAGAGGCAAGTGCATGGAGACAGAAAGGAGATTACTGGTTACCAGGTCCTGGGGCAGTGGGGAGCAGCTGTTTAATGGGCATAGGCTCTCCCTGTGGGGTCAGGGAAATGTTCTAGAGTTGATGGTGGTGATGGTTGCACAACTCTATGAATGCACTAAAACCCACTGAATTGTAGACTTATATGGGTGAACTATACGGTCCCTGAATTAAATCTCAATAAGGCTTCTGGAAATAAAGCCCACTGCCAACTACTATTCCAGTTTTCATTAAGGACAGAAGTTGTGATGCTGCCAGTGCCAGAGACTTAATTTCAGGAAAAAAAAATAAAAGTACACATGAAGCCCTCCACCCCACCCCACCCCGTTCCAGCTCAGATCACAAGGGCCCGCAAAGCGGACAAACCCAGGGGCCAGGGCCTCAGGCACAGATAGCCCGCCAGGGGCAGGGGTGGCTCCCCACGCCCTCCATGGAAGAGGCCCAGGGCACCAGAGGGCAGGGGCTGAAGGACGACTGCCTAGGAGGCAGGAACCAGAGCCCCTCCCAGCACTCTTCGCTGGGGAGGTTGGACTGACAGGGTGGACGCCAGGCCAGGGAGGGCCCCTCAGGGCAGGAGCTGCACTCAGGGCACTGGCAACGGTCAGCCTGGTGCTGGTATAGGGGGTGAGCTGGGATCGACCTGGCTGCCCCGCGCCTCCCCCTCCCCTCCCCCCACAAAGGAAAAATACAAAAAGGAAAAATAAACACAGACAACTACAAGACATGAAAACCTGTTATAAAATCATGAGCAGTAAGAGCATGATTATAAATAGAATAACAGAAGAATCTAGAAAAAATGGGAAGAGACACAAATGACAGGGGAATTCAGCATACGATGAAGGACATGTTTCTGTCTGTGGAGAAAACTTGAACACACAGTCAGCAAAACTGTCACCACTAGGGACCATTTAGAAAATACATACACAGCTAGATCACCACCCCACTCCTTCCATCAAAATAAATTTCAGATGGCTCAGATTTCCACATAAAAATGAAATTTAACAGTGCTGGTAGGAAAAAAAATTTTTAATTTGGTATGGACCAAGTCTACAAAAACCAGAAAAGGTAAACCTGATAAAGATTAATCAGTTTTCTATAGGAATATTTAGAATTTCTTTTTTTTTTTTTTTTTTTTTTTGCGTTGCGGAGCAGAGGCTCCGGAAGCGCAGGCTCAGCGGCCATGGCTCACTGGCCCAGCCGCTCTGCGGCATGTGGGATCTTCCCGGACCGGGGCACGAACCCGTGTCCCCTGCATCGGCAGGCGGACTCTCAACCGCTGCGCCACCAGGGAAGCCCTAGAATTTCTTTTTTAATAACAAAAAAGATGAAAAACATAAAAGACCGATTACAACAGTGGAAATAAATGAAGACCACCCAAATGAGAACAAGCAGGCATCCCCTGTGGTTGTTTAGGGGGCATATTTGTCTTTCTGCAGTTGGTCCTGAGTTGAAGATGGAGACAGAAATTATTGTTCATTATCGTTCAAGTCCTGCCCATTTGGGCCAATTGTCACAGGGCACGTGTCCAGCTGCCCGTGATTCTCAGAAGCACCTTGGGTGGGGTCGGGCGAGGTGCCCGCCCTCCTGTTGGAGAAGGGTCTTGGGGCACAGATGAGTGAAGCTAGCCAAGGTCAGGGAAGTGGTGTGTTTGCACAGGACTTGAGTTCCATTTCTGTGGAGAAAAGCTGAGCTGTGAGGAATGGGAGGCCCAGCCAGGCAGGGGAGGGGTCATCCCTGCACCTCGTTAGTAAGCAGGGTCCATTGGTGGGGGTGGGAGGTCCAGGTCTGGAGCCAGGGAGCTAGCTGCAGCATTCTCTGAGGCATGGGGTGGTTTCCCTCTGGACCCTCAGGCCTCTTCTTTATGTGAAAATTAATAAAGGGAACCCTCACTAAACTGCAGTCAGGAGGCCAGAAGGGGGAGCTCTCACACCCTACCGTGCAGTCTCAATTGCAGACCCAACAGGAAGGTTACTAGTTACTGCCCAACAGGAGGAAGGAAGATTTTCTCTCAGCCCAGCAACAGCCCAGCCAATGAGCGACCATCACAGTTCAGCCAATGAAAAGTCACCACACTGCGAACTCCCAGTTTCCTCCAACGGACACTTAGTTTAGAACAGCCCCTCCCAACTCCCCCTTCTCCTCTATAAAAATAGAGTTTCCTCTCCTTTGTTCTCTGCACTTGCTTGTGGTTCGCCCTAGATTGCTTGTCCTGAATTTTAGTTCTTTACTGTTCCCAAATAAACCCATGTTGCTGTTTTATTAAGGCCAAGGGAGATTATTTTGAAATGTTGAGCCAGCATCACTTTATTGGCTACATTGTTTTCTTTTTTATTTTATTTTTTGACATGAACCATTTTTAAAGTCTATTGAATTTGTTACAATATTACTTCTGTTTTATGTTTTGGTTTTTTGGCCCTGAGGCATGTGGGATCTTAGCTCCCTGACCAGGGATCGAACCCGCACCCCCTGCATTGGAAGGTGAAGTCTTAACCACTGGACCACCAGGGAAGTCCCAGGATACATCATTTTTACAAAAGTTTGACAGGCAACAAAATGCAGAATTTAAATATTCATACAGGGGCTTCCCTGGTGGCGTAGTGGTTGAGAGTCCGCCTGCCGATGCAGGGGACGCGGGTTCGTGCCCCGGTCCGGGAGGATCCCACATGCCGCGGAGCGGCTGGGCCCGTGAGCCATGGCCGCTGAGCCTGCGCGTCCAGAGCCTGTGCTCCGCAACGGGAGAGGCCACAACGGTGAGAGGCCTGCGTACCGCGAGAAATAAAATAAAATAAAATAAAAATAAAATAAAAATAAAATAAAATAAAAAATAAAATAAAATACAAAACAGAATTAAGAGTAACATGACAACTCTAAATTGTGTGATGGTTCCAGACATGGACCTTATGCCTGAAGGTGGCCAGCTGAACAAATCAAAGGACCACAGAGAGGCAGGGGAGACTTGCAGCTATGCCTGATTCTATGCAGTTGAGTTTCCACTTTTTTTTTTTTTTTCCTGGCCGTGCCACGTGTCTTTTGGGATCTTATTTCCCTGACTAGGGATTGAACCTGGGCTCCCCGGCAGTGAAAGCACTGAATCCTAACCACTGGATCACCAGGGAATTCCCGAGTTTCCACTTTTCTGGTCATTTTTCATTGGTACTTACTCTGACCCAAGGGAACAAGGCTCTCCCCATGGAGGGAAATCTGGAGTCGAACATGCCTCCTGGAAGTACCCACTTAGGCAGCCATGAAGGTTTAGTAAAGTGGATCAATGGGAGGCTTCCGTTTTGTTATGAGGAGAAAATAGAACAGTAAATACAGAAGGAGGACCTCAAACTGAGAGAATTACCTGAGTACGGTGGGAAGAAACGGCACAGAAATAAACGTAAAGCAATAGCTGATGAGCTCAGAGCAAAATTTCCAAGATCTACTGAAAATAGTATTGTTACCTCAAAAGGACTGTTTGGAACCAATTATATTATGGAAAATACAGCCTGTAAGTTTGCAAATTCAGAGAGTGTAGATAAGAACCCAGAGTCAGTTAATAGTTCAGATGAAATAAAGACTGTGAATCCGGAACCATCTAACGCTTCCCAAAAGGCAAGTAAAAGATTAATTTGTCACGGGATCATGATAAGGCTGTTTCCAAAAGGCCATAATCAAAATAAGAGGTTTCCCCCTTTCACAAGGGTTTGGAAAATGTGGACAAGGGTGTTGTCTTCCCGTGAAAGAGAGAGAGAGCAGCAACAGTGAGAAAAGGGCGCACAGGCCTGGTCCAGACATCTTGGGAAAGCTGTCAGGTCAGATGTCACCTGCTTTAATTCCTGGAAATCTTTACTTTCAGGTCACCAGGTGGTATGCAGCTCCAGTCAGGGGTTGGTGCTTTTTCAGATGTGACACATGAATCCAAGTGTCTGTTCCTTGGAGCTTGGTGGCACATGGATAGGTTAGCGGTACCTGGGCGGGGCTTATTCCTGAAGATGAAGCATTTAGCAGGA